AAACACAAATGGAAATTGATTAACTAGGAAGTGTTGCAGAATATTAAGTTTGCACATAACAGGGATAGGGATCCTCTCCATTATGTGTCTGTGTAATTGAGTTTCCATTTAAAACAAAAGATGTGAAATAGTTTTGAATTAAAGAAACATTTAAGAATTTTAACGACCTGTCTTACTGTTTTAAGTAAAATAAAAAAATAAAAAAGAATTGTAGCACTTTTTAGATTCAAATTTGTCTTGAAAGCATTATGATCTTCTTAAGATTGCTGCACTCTAGCTTCATTTTATTTGTCCACCCAAGTATGTATTGTGGCATCCCAGTTGAAAGGTATTCAACAAATATGGAATGGCTCTGATTTTTCTGAAAGCTGACAAACTGAGCAAAAGGAGAAGGACTTTCCTCAGGGAGGAGATCAAGCCAAGGAACATGGACATAAAATAAACAGTGCGCTTTGGCTGCCAGTAGTACAACAGTCAGAGTAACACGTCTCAAAACTGACAAGAGTGGGTGGGATGGAAAAAGCGATGCCTGGAAGAAGGGTCAAGTTGATTCATACTGCAGGTTGCAAAAAGGCAAATGAAAGACTGAGAGAGCAGAATGTGAAAGACTTACTGGGTGTCACAGAGATGAAATTGGACTCACTCAGCTGTAGCACAAAGTACCACGTCAATCAGAAGCAAGCCAGAGCTCATCACCTGTCCACCAGTATCTCAGTCAGGACTACTTGGGATGACAGCATCATGATATGGGTTGGACACTCGGTCAGCCAACGACATTGGACCGGTTGATAATTGAAAGTGATGCAGACTGTAAAGCTGAATACAGGAAATCTGTTAGAGGGGACAAGTGTTGGTTCAAATGAAGTTTACTAGGCTTCAGTGCTTTTGAAGCTGTGACTTCATAGAGGATACAAATATCCTCTGGACATGTTCAACCGTTTTTGTGACATTTGTATCCCTCTGCCTCTGAGTGTTTGTATTGTTGATGAGTGATCAGTTAGACAGAGCATTTTGCTCCCATTTCCATCACATTCTGCTTCATCCTTTAAGCCTTTTGTTTTGGCCACAGAGTGCTCTGTTCAGACTCTATAACAAGCATTCAGCCACTGTCTCTCAAATAAATGTTTCTTCTCATGCTCCATTGGGATGTTTGCAGTGCAAGATGATCTAATTGAAAATCATGGAGATATTGCCTGCTGCAGGCAGAAACACAGATTTTTTTTAGTGTATCAAACTTTTCTCTTTTAGGTGTTCGAGATAGGCAGACCTGTGCATATACATTGGCTGTGTTTATCGATGACTAGATTTTGAGACGATGCAAATTTGACATCATTAAATGTTACTGTTTTAGCATTGCTCTTTGTACAATGACACACTAACTGTATACTAAACAAGAGTGAAGTTACTCTACTGAAAAAATGCACATCAAGTCAAGAACTTTTTGACTCATGATTTAATGAACATTTACCATTTTAAACTACAGTATGTAATTTTATTTATTTATTGATTCAGCTGCCAGGGGGCTCTCAATCAAAACAATAACAAAAAGACGTAGAGACTGCAGGAATCATGGGAATTCTCTACTCTGACGTTAAACAGCAGGCCCATCTGTCTCAGAACAGACTTAAAACATGAGTCAAGCGTCTGCAGTAGTTAATAACAAAACAAATGAGGGATCATTAAGTGGGCTGTGATACCAGACATTCAGTTAGTAGGCAGCTCATGATCCGTCAGGGCTGCAGGTCACAGTACTTACCATTTTCTGCCTACAGTGAGGGTGACATTTCTGTAAAGGAATCAGGCTTTGCTGTAAGTGTGGGTCACAGTTTTGTCTAAATGCTGTTTGCTTTCATACATATTTCAGACTAACTGAAAAGAGACAAGTTTGTCAATGCTTCAAACTAAAATAAATTAAAGAGAAAATTTAGTTCAACAGTCTGTTACCTTGAATATTAATCAATTAAGCCGAATAGAACAATGAAGTGTTTGGACAATCCATTTATATGAAGAAGAGTGAACGGAACATATTGTTTTAAGGGCTTTCATTTTCAAGCATCAAGTGTTGTCTTCAGCCACAACAACTTGTTTTTTTGTTTTTTTATCATTTGTCGGTTTTGGGTGTATTCATATTGCTAAGCTTCTATACTGGTTGATTTGTTATTGGGAAAATCACAACCTAGCTACCCTTACACTTGTTCTGCTTCCTTGTCTATTTTAAAAGGTCACATATTGTGCAAAATACACTTTTCCATGTTTTTCTAACACCAATATGTGTCCATAGTCTGTTTACAAACCAGTTATTAGAAAAGTCCACCCTCTCCGTCTTTTGCCTGCTCCACTTTTCAGAAAATGTGTGCTCAAACGGGACGTTTGGAGATGTTCCCTTCATTACATCACAAAGGGCAGTAACCCCTCCCCCAGGTTGTTGACACTCCCATAGCTAGGTGTTTGTTCTGCCCTCTGAGTCTGCCTTCTCACCATAAACTATAGGGCATGGAATGAGAGAGCCAGAGTCACACAAGCCCTTCCAGACACAGCTCATTTGCATTTAAAGCTACAAGACACAGAAACAGCCTGTTCTAAGCAGGGCTGAAATAGAGTATATAGACAAAATAAAATACAGCATCAGAGTGGATTTTTAACAAGAAACTTCACAGACATGTTTTTGGGAGCTCTGAGAATTATTTAAACTTGTTGAAAAGGAGTTTAATATGTGACTTTTAATGTAATTTTGCCCATCATTTAATATTGTGCTTTACTTACCATACTTCTATTGTTAATCTATTATAAATAATTATTTGAATTTAACATTTGTGATTTTTATATTTCATGTTTATTTGGCAATCTGTTCCCCCCTTCCCAATGACACTGAACCAAATCACTCTCTTCAGTATATAGACCTTTGCTGCACTGAGCACTTTAAACACACTGCACCTTTAACAATAATGACTGGATGTAATATTTGTAGTAATGTATTGGGACAGGTTGTTTCTAAAGGAGGTTGTTTTTGATTTATTGTTAAATTGGTTGTTTTCTGTTAAAATCGTATGTGCCAAGCAAAATCCCTAACTGAATTATTTGGGCTGTGTTTGAACAAGGCTGCCAGTGGCTTTCTTTGCATTTCCATGTGGCACAATTAGAGTGTCTTAAAAATTGAAAAATGCAATAAAAGGTATTTTAAATTTGAATTATAGTAATTATTCACCCCTGCTGTCATTAATCATGATTCGTTTTTTTTGTATCGATTGACAGTACCAACTTTAACCTCTAAAAGGCCTCTGTTTTTCGAGCTGACTGGGCTGAACTTTGCTGTGTTGGTCATGTCACAAGAGTTGAGCTTACTGCCAAGACTTCAACGTCTGAAATTGCTAAAGAAATGCCTACTCATACTTTCAAATTAGCCTAATCGCCTGGAAACTTAGAAATGATTTCTCTACATCAAAGCCCTTGGCCATCTGTAACGTGATTGGCCATGCTTTGAAAATACAGAAGTGACCTGGGTCAAAGTCTAAATAAGTTTAATTTAAATTTAGAACAGGAAGTCGTTTGGGATCAACTAAAGGGACGCGCTGCCATCAGCTTCGGAGTAATCACTCCCTGTCTCTAGTAGGGACCTTTGTCAGTGATGTCACTGTTTATTGATTGCTGTCAAACAAGAAGAATTTCCCATTTGGGACAATCAAGTCTAATTTTAAGTCGAAGTCTTCATAACAAAGACACTGTAAACATCTTTTTACATGTTTACAAAGAAAATTCCCTCGATTGTATAGGTTTTACCATAGTATCAGTTGTATCCATCAACTAGAAAAACAAATATTTCAGGCAAATATCTGTATTTCTCCTGAGTATAAGGCAGTCTTCAATGCTGATATTGATCACATTTTACATTTCAGTAGTGTCCTAGTGATGCAGGCCTTCTTTCTCAAATGTAAAAGTAATTTTGTACATTCATAGTTGGGGTGTTGAAATGAATCGTTTCTGCGATGCATTTCTTATCTGTCCTATCCATATTCTGTATTAATGCCATAACAGGACATAATCCATTATTATGTACTGATGTTGCTTGTAGATTTTCCAGTCTTTGCTGAACCTACATAATTTATTTATGTTGGTTTACAATGTAAGACATTTTTGTTGACATTGATTTCTAAAGCGGTTTCTAAATACCACACATGACAGTATGACTTAATTTAACGTATAACATAATGACGAGAAGACAGAAGAATCAGCTTTCTGTTGCAAATCAAATTAAGAATCTTGCTTGTATAGATTTAGGTTTAGATTGCCTTAAACAGGATTATGATTTAAAGGTTATCCAGCAGCTCTCTGCATGGAGAGGTGGGGTTCATTGGGTTAAAGAATCTCACTGGGTATAGAGAAGGATGTAGCCTGTTTTTTTCATTCTAAGTGAAGACCAAGCAGAGATATTTGCTGAAATTACAAGTATCATTTTCTAACCTTAATCATCTCCCTTAGAGACATAGAAAATATTAAGGAAAATCACAGAGCGAGTATCCTGTGAAATTCTTCCCTAACAAAATGTATCTTCCTTGCTGGAACAACATCTTCATTCTCAGATTTACTTCTTAGCTTGCACATATCTCAGCTTACACATAACCTCCAACAGAGCTTTAAATAGTCAGTCAACCTTAATTCAAGAAGTGTTGGAGAATTTTACAAAAGCCAGGGGTAAAACTGGTAACAGTCTGAAGCCAGGGATCAATTTGAGCCAGCCACAAGAAGACACCTACACTGTCATCACCTCTACTGTTAGGGCACCAGCAGCTCTGATTAAGCACATCTAAGAACGCGGTTTTAGCCCCTCAAGACATTTACATGTCACATTACTGCATGCAAAGCCCTTCAGCTGTGTACTCTGATGTGTCTGTGGATGTGAATCAGTTTGATGCAGTCAGTCTCACTTCACACATGAGCTGCTGTTCTGTCTGTACTTGTTTTCCTGGTTGTAAATCCGCTGAATGCATCTCTCCTGTCAACAGGATGGCCTTTTGGAAGCCTTGTCTGCAAAATGAGCGGCATGGTTCAGGGGATTTCTGTGTCAGCATCCGTCTTTACTCTGGTGGCTATTGCTGTTGACAGGTAAGATGGTTTATTTTAACGCTACATTTCCTCTAAGCACCTTTTTTTTCATAGGAATTGTGTCTTGAAAAAGTGGAAAAGAAAACAGAAACAACCAAAAGCCACCATGGCTATGTTCACATGGCAATCCTTTAAGTTCAATAAGTATTTTTTTCTCAGATTGGATTTTTTTTTGGCTACATATTACTTTTTAAATGTGACGTGTATCAGACCCCCTGGTGAAATGGTCACACTCCTGAACTGACCCCCATGCGGAAAAGAACAACAAAGACATCAAACGCAGCAAAACACGCAGAATTTATAATGGCCATCCATCCATTTTTTTCCTCTTATCTGAGGTCAGGTCACGGTGGGAGCAGAAATCCCTCTCCCCAGCATTGTTTTCCACTCCTTGGTGGTTTTGAGGTGTTCCAATGCCAGATGGGATATTCAGTTTAAACCCTCCAGTGAGCTCTGGGTCTACGCCGGGGTCTGCACCCAGTTGAGCGTGCCTGGAATACGTCTAGAGGAAGTCCTGGAGGAATTCTAATAAAATGCCTGAGCCACCTCAACTGGCTGTTTTTAAATGCAAAGGAGTACGGGCTCTAACCTGAGCTCCCCACTCATATCCAACCACCCTTCAGAGGAAACTAATTTTTGCAGCTTGCATCCATCATCTCATCCTTTCGGTCATGAGCCAAAGCTCATGACCATAGGTTGGGGATGGAACGAGAAGAGGGAAGGTCTTAAGGCTCTGCTCCCTGTTCAAGACGATCTGGTACAAAGCCACACTTGTGAACAAAAACCCAAGATACTTGGACTCCTTCACTTCTAACTGAAAATTGAACAAGCAAGACCTTGTGATTGGTAGATTCATAGTAGCAGCTTTATTTATGACTCTAACAGCTCTTTTCTGGACTTAAATTATGGGATCAATATTTGCTTTATATGTTTCCACAGACCTAAATACAGTATGTCAGCATGATAGTTGAACAATATAATACATTCAGGCAAACTCAGAAAGACAGTAACTGTTTTCTTTCTAGAGATGTCCTCTGTTTCTAAGGTCTTATTCTGCAAATGAAAGACAACAAAAATTAATGTATTAAGGAAAACATTCAGTCTCTACTAATTTATTAACCAGCACCTCGAATTGTTGTACCTCAGATGTACACATATTCTGTTCTTATTAAAACACTAACAATCATCTTAGACAGTGAAACTTGGAGTTTATAACATTTTTACAAATGTAAAACTTGGTTCAAGTCCCGATGCGGACCAAATATGGAAGTTGGTCTGGTAGCTGGAGAGGTGCCAGATCACCTCCTGAGCACTGCCGAGGTGCCCTTGAACAAGGCACCAAACCTGCTCAGCTCCGTCACTCTGACATCTCTCCATTAATGCATGTCCATAGAATCCTGTTTCTGCATGTGTGTATATTTCAGCCTGTGTGTGTTCATGACTCACAGAGTGTAAAAACTGAAATTTCCCCTTGCGGGGATCAATAAATGTTAATCTTAATCTTTTGTACCAACGTTTTTCAGACGTGTGTATGCAGGTAGTTCAGTGGATAACGGCATGAAGGGAATAATATTTTTAATTAATGGAAGTACTTTGCAACTTTTAATTTAAGAGACAAATTGAAACTTTTCAAATTTTACAATGATATTCTCCGCTTTTATTTCCCTCCCTCCCTATATTTGTCCTCTCCTCCTTTGAACAAGTGTCTTCTTGATCGAGCCGAATTGCTTAATTGCTATTCATGAAGATAACAACAATTGGATGTAAATCCTGCATAATCTCTTCGAAAAACATCGGAGGGGGCTGTAGAGGCTCACAGTGGGGAAAGAACAGTTTGTGGCAGAGAGTAGAGCTCAGTGAACAGACTCCTGCAGTGGAATTCCAGCAGCTGCATTGTCTACAGCAGACTGTGAAAATAACAGATCTGGTATGTAACCGTTGCCCTGTCGTCAGACACCAGAGGTGCAGTGACGTCGCTCTGTGGCAATCTCAAGTCACTGGAGGCTGTCTGAGCCTCTGGAAAGGACAGGAGGAGGTTGAAATGCTTCAACATTTAATGGTCAAAGTCACCTTACATATCTATCAGACACATGATAAGGACTGAATTTGAACTGTGGAGGAAATTAATTGCTCTCCTGTGTGCCATTTTGACCAGTATATTCATGCCAACTCTAAAATGATGCAAATTACTTGGCAGTCTTTGCTAGTCTTTCCTGATGTCACCCTGCCTCCTGACATACCTGTGGTGACATTATCAATTACATTTAAGGTTCTTAAACAAGGGCCCATAAGGCAACTGAAGAGACACATGGATTTTCAATGGGAAACATGATGAGCAGAATAGAAGTTGCAAAAGTGTAATGTGGGATCAAAAGAAAGTGCTCTAATGCTAGAAAGGCCTTCCTGCTAACCTGAATCTTTTGTTTGCCAATAAATATGCTGCTAAGCTAGTTACAATATGTTGTTTCTACAAATTTAAAGACTGAATCTAAAAACTACTTCCTTAATTTGTGTGTGTACAGAGATTGAAAAACACAAAAGTTTGAGAACAGGTTTATTTTAGGGCCGTCAAACAAAACATTTATAATAGTAATTGACTGCAGAATTTCAACAACTATTCATGATTAATCACATTTTTAATTGCATGTTTAAAATTCCAGTCTTTTATTGACAAACCAGTGTGGTCTGACACCATGATTAAGAGGTATAAAGAAAACAGCTTCAAATCACACACTCATCATTTTTTTTAATGACAACACGGTTACACACTAAGAAATATGCAGGAGTGCGTAAAAAATTACTCACTGACATCCAATTATTCCCGGTTCATGTGACAGCATTAGCACATGTCAGAAGTTCCTTAGTTTCACTTTATGAATACAGCTTCAATTACGGTAAAAACTATCGATTATTGCTTTTATTGCATACTGAACTCTACATTTAATGATTAATTCATAAATTATTGACTCACTCTATGATGTAATAAAATTATAACACTATTAGGAGAAAAATATTTGGCCTGCCCCATAATGTAATAACTGACCCAAAATTACTACGTTTTGGGCTCAGCATCTTGTTACATTATCGACCAGATATTACATTTTGGGTTTTATTACATTTTTTTTATTACATTTTGGGTTGTTGTTACATTTCGGATAGTTGTTACATTTCGGGCTCTAACAAGCCTGTCAATATAGAAAGAGCTTAGATTTGTCCATTTACACCTAAATAGAATATTGCTGTCCATAAAACCAATCTGATGACAAATTAATTCCTTTGAAGGGGCAGAAAATACCCTGAACTTAAATTATACCCTAATCACGTATCAGGTGTGAACTCCGAATTCCAATGTTTCACCATAGAAGACGATGTTGTTGCAACTGTCTTACAAATGTTCAATGTCCCAAATGTTTGGTGACAGTCCTGACCTGAAATCTATATATATAAGTTATTTAAGTGCTTGGTTGTTTGTGTTCTCTGGCACCACATAATTGACACAACAATTGACAATCAAGGTAAAAAAAATATCCGAGAGTCCTTTTCCTGCTTTTTACAGCTTATATTATATTGTATTTTGCCATTTAAAGTAAAGTATGTTTGCTGTTACTGATTGGCTTGTGTAAACATGTATTTTCAAGCATGTTAAGTGTACATGTTCCTTATCTGGTCTTTTTTCGATCCCTTTGCAGATTCAGATGCATTGTCTACCCATTCAAGCAAAAACTGACCATATCCACAGCGACCCTGATAATAGTTATTATCTGGGTTCTTGCTGTTTCCATCATGTGTCCCTCTGGGGTAATGCTACAAGTAACCAAGGAGCAAACCATCCGGGTGTTACTGGGCTATGACAACAAAACCACCCCTTTTTACTGGTGCAGAGAGAACTGGCCAAACCAGGAGATGAGGAAGATTTACACCACCGTTCTGTTTGCAAACATCTACCTTGCTCCTCTTTCCCTCATTGTTATCATGTATGCCAGGATTGGCATTACTCTTTTCAAAACAGCAGTTCCAACTGGAGGGAAGCCGGGCCATGACAACCGACACTCTGTGTCCAAAAAGAAGCAGAGGGTGATTAAAATGCTTCTGATAGTTGCACTGTTGTTCATCATTTCTTGGTTGCCTCTGTGGACCCTTATGATGCTGAGCGACTATGCCAGCCTGACGGAGCAGCAGTACAGAATCATCAACATTTACATTTACCCGTTTGCCCACTGGCTAGCCTTCTTCAACAGCAGTGTCAACCCCATCATCTACGGTTTCTTCAATGAAAATTTCCGCAGAGGATTCCAAACTGTATTTAAATTTAGCCTGTGTGCGGCAGATGGACAGCGGAGGAAAACCTACTCTCACAGGCTTCAGGGGAACTCTGTGCTTCCGGCTAATAACGCACAGACCTCCCTGGAACCCATTTCTCTCAACAGCCTGGATAAGAACACTTCCAGGCGACTCAATCATGTCACTGAACAGGACTTGGTAATGGAGGACTTGGAGAAGGGCTCTTGCAGCAGTGGGGGTGTGACTGCAGTGTCTATTTGAGTGACACAGAGACATTCTTCTAGGTGATAAGCTAAGTTGTTCACTTTCCAAGAAAACGGTTGCCTGAAAAGGATTTTTCAACACTGTGAAAATAATGGTAATGAAAAAAGTACAATACTGGAAGGAATTGACTGGTAAAGCAGTAATATATGCTTTTTACTTTCCTGTAACACTTACAATACACAGAGCAGGATACCTCAGTGTTTGCTCAGAAAAACAAGTACACGTCAAAAGCTAATATTCAAATGACCAAATTTTTTTTAAACCTTTGCTTATCACCTTTAAGACACACAATGTATGTTGCACATATTGTGCCGTTTAAAAATGAAAGCAGATTATTCTGGTAGAATTGAACAAAAAGGATCAGTTGATATTACACTGATAACAGCCTACTTTCCTGCTCACTAATTCTGTATGTAAAAATGTATAAAGATGCATCAGCCACAATGTACTTTGATGTTTGCAGAGCAGATTTCAAAAGAAAAGTAATCAAATGTTCTTGTAGATTGGCACATGCAACAGAACAGAGCATTTGCCCACATCAGTCACTTATTGGTAATTGCTATTGGGAATAAAAGGTACTTCAACTACTCTTGAGTAGGAATGTCATGTTGTCTATTTCATGAGGCAGATTTTTTTATAAACCAAAGTGCAGTACAAAATAAAATAATAAAAAAGCCTGTGAAAGGCCTCAAACATGAAATGAAAGAAGTTGATGGAACAACTTTTCACCTTCCTGTGATCACGGTCATTCAGTACAGTGGTTTCACACCCACAACTAAACACGATGGAGAGATACTAACCACAAGGAACCAGCCAAGGCTTTTACTTTGTTAGATCCTTTTGAAAGCAGCGTGTTGAAATATAGGACAAATCAAGCCTGCTTTCCTTTGACAAAAAAAAGCATGATATTCTAAAAGTTACCAATTAAAATCAATATCCTTGGGAAACTTTTTATGAGGACAATTTGTTTTTTCCCTCATCAGTAAACGTCTCTGCTTGCTACATAAGGAACACCTGTGACCCAAGATGTCAATAAGTAATAAGAAGTGTCTGCAAGTGAAACATTCGGGTTGGCATGTGGCCTAAGTTGTCTTCATACATGAAGTTTTTATTTTATCTTTGTGGTTCAGCTGCACTAACCTCATCCACCATTGTAACTTTTTTGTGGCCACTTTTTGCTCCTGATGTTTCCTGCTGTGGCACAGGAAGTTGAAATGAAGCAGCTAAATCAAATACACTGCTCTGATTGGCTATACTGCATTTCATATCAACAAAAAACAAAAGCAAAGTAAAATTTATAACAAAGACAGCATGTTACATTTCTCACTTTTTGTTTTGTTTATGTCAAATAGACAATTAGGCTATCTGACAGTTAAAATAGTTTGGAATCTTTGTGTTAAAATGCTAGAAACATGAATCATACATCAGTTGAAAAAGGCTAACCTAAAGGACAACTACTTCACCTTTAAGATATGAAAGCCAACATTAATGATGAATACAGATTTTTAATATCAGACTAAAGAAACATTTAGATGCAGAGAACAAAAGAATGCTTTTGCTGTTCGTCTACAAACTTTCACTTTTAAATGAATGTTATATCCTTGCATTAACACTGGAATCTGCCCTGACAACTTGTACATTAAAGGTGTAATGATGCTGAAGTAAATATGGATTTATCTGTGAATATCTCATGAGCCTGTTAAGATTGTGCCATGTTGACTCATCTCAGAAAACTTTTACTGTTTATTTTTCTTTCTATGAAGAGTTTTGTGCATTCACCCATTCAGAATATGGGAAAAAAAGAAGAAGGTTGTGGCCGCTTAACATGTATTGTCTTCTGTAAGTTGTTGTTACCGACTACCAGTGATAACGTGAATCTGTCTTTGTAAAGTGACTACTAACAACGTGCTTGCAAACATCCTTTGGTTCCAGTTCTTTTAGATACTTTCAATTTCTAATGTCAGTAATGACTGCTAATGTTTTAAAGGGTACATTTTTTAAATTTGAAAAGAAAATGTGAAAAAACTGTATAAAAATGTCAACTTATTTCTGAAACCACACGTTTATAAAATAATAAGAGTGATTTTCACAACATTTTATGAAACATGATGCAAGATGCAGCAATATTGAAGGTCAATCTATCGGTACAACAGTGCTCGAGTGATCCAATGGATCCATATTTGTTCACTCAAGAGCCTTTACAGACAGGTTCAGACGAATATATGCTGTATGGAGAATCTGTGCTGCATTGGAGGAAACATGTTTTATGTTTGCAAGACAGCTACTGTGCTGTTGCTCTTTCTTCAACATAGACACCTAGAGTGAGTAGGAAAAGTAAAGAGAGGCACCTAACAGACACTTAAGCTAATGTAAGGAAACAAAGCATGAAATGTTCAAGGTTCAGCTAGGTTTTTAAAGCTTTGAACTGACAGGAAGCTACAGGATGATGATGTTAAAATAAATCATGCCACACAAAAAGAAAATTGTCTCAGGGGTGCAAGGTGGTCACAAGCAGTATAAGTTCATGTATGCATCCTCACTTCAGATGTTATCAGACCATTAACTGGCCTGTTGTCAGTTGTTGTCATTACTATTAGAGTGCTTCAGATGGGGTTCATTCTATCAACACAGAGATGTTACAATACCAGAGTTTTCATATGTTTTTGTTTTAACATGAGTCCAGTGAATGACAACATCCTGTTTAGCCAAATGGGAGTTGGAGCATGACCACATTCAAATGTTTCTGATGACAACTGAAGGCAACCATTGAATGGGCTTGTAAACTATCAGAGTAAATACTCCGTACACTCATTTGTGTGGGGCACTTTCAACTCGGTTTAACATAATTGAAAACCAGTTTGTATTTTCTAGCTGAGTCATTAGTATTGTCATGAATCAGTGCCAAATCTCATAAGACTCCCCAATGTGTGTTTATAGTAGCATGAAGGCTACCGTATGCTGCCTCTTTAATGACATGTACAGAAAAAAGCAGCTCTTTTCCCACTGGGAGGGGTGGATCAACGTTTTTTGCTCTGTCTGCTACCGTTGCCGAGAAATTAGATCTTTCCGATTATGAAAATATGTTTTTTACAGTCTATAGTTGAATTTTCAATTTCTTGTTATAAAGACCTTCAATAGATTAAAAACATTTTCCTATACTCCGAGCTTTCAACCAGTATAGCTGCACCATGTTCCCTCTGTGCTTTTTAAATGTTCACCAACAATGTTTCAGTAGTGGAGCATCTAGCTTTATTAGTTAGTCTTGCTGACATTTAGTCTACTTACAATCATAGAAACAACGATTCATTTGAAAGGCATGTTGTACAGTAGCTGTACCTAATAATGACAAACGTGGTGCATCTTACCTTATCGTTAATCATCTCATTTCCAAGCGGATCTCTGATGAGGTTAATCTGTAATTATATCATTTTTTCCTGATTGTAGAGTAATGATGTTATCTTAAACTTAACAGCTTGGAAATGACTGATGGTGAAAATAATGTGGGACGCATTCAAATTACAAACTGGTTCCATTATCTGACTTAATCTGAATGTTTAAACTGTATTATGGGTGCGACTGCATCAAAACTCAGTATTATTGTTGATTAAGAGCAGTAGGACACTTTGGGCAGATGTTTGGGCCCTCTCACTCACTCACTATTCTCTTTCTATCAAACTAATACATGCAAATGAGTATTGGCAGAGATTAAGTCTGCTCTGGCAACGATAGACCCAAGAAAACAGAGCCATAAGTCTGACGCTCTGGACATAGACCGAGTGGACCCAGCCAGATGCTGTGTGCATTGGCAGTTAATCTGTCTGTGTGTGGCTTGAAAGGTCAAACGTAAAGGAGTCCCAATTCAACTGAACAGCTCAAGGGGGCTTCAAAGTTGATTTTATTAAGTAGCTCTGCACAGAGATCACAGCCAATGTAGCCGTCAGAGGAAACAAAATTGGATTCAGCATCAATCAATGAAAACTGACACTTAGTAGATGCTCTTCAATTTGACAAGTTTTCCACTGACATTTATAAAGAGCCAGCTCACATCTCCCCATTCAATTTCACTTACAGTTCATACTCAGTCAGAGTGATAGCTATTTCTCGTCTTTCTATACGCTCTGGCAGCTATATGTGATTTTCTGGCTGAGTGACCATCTGGGAGGCTTGTTCATTTATCCTGCTTAGAATTAGTTGCAATTCGTATGGGCCTCTGAACATACTGAGTGCATCTGTGAACGGCATGAATGCAACAATGCATTACAGGTCATTCATAATGGTTAGAGTTTGATAGCATTTAATTGAATCGGTGTCAAATCTGAGTTCCTTTATTCCTTTAATGTAATTTGGTTCTTGTATACTTTTAAATGAAGAAACAGAAATAAATATTATGCAACCCAAGGACCAGTTCAAAAGCAGGACAAGCACACAGTAATCCAGTCTTAGAACAAATGTATTTTAAGAATTTAAGACCAGGCCACAGCACAAAATACAGCCTTTGAACCTTTCTTAGCTATATATGGGGATTGTTTAGAAATGGGGTGTAGTAATGAGTTTTGGCACTGATTTCCAAATTAATATGTTTAACAATAACCTTTAACCAATGCCAACTTTTATACTCAACAGCTTTTCATTTTTAACTTCAAAATGTATGGATAAAAACAGGGTTTTAAACTGTATTTAAAAAAAAAAAAATTGTTTTTGCTTCCAAACGGTTTCTTTAAGTTTTCTGCAACCACTTGCAATAGTTTTATTCCGCCGGCAAAGTCAGGAGTATCAACAGCCACTTAAAACAGTACAAGACTCCTACATGGCATTTGTATTGCTTTTGACAGATTTAACAGAGAAACAATGTTAAGTGTGAAACTCCAGTATTGAATGTAATGAATTTGTACTTGTTGGTGCCTGTGGTGAAAAAAGAACAACATTTTCTTTCCTGTGAAATATGGATTAATAACTGTGAACTTATTTTGTTCGGGGATCTGAAGACTCTGTCCCTTTGTTAAGTCTGCATGCCAATATTTTGTGTACTAGCATGTTTGTTTGTTGTGTCTGCACCTACATGTTCTTAGATATTGTTAAGTAAAAGCTTTTAAAGATTTATTTGTAGGGACACAAAAAGTTGATTGCAGTTTTACACAGGAACTGAGATAGCAGGTTTTTTTTTTACTGACCATGGAAGTTAATGGTGTCCTATGTATTTGTGAAGGGCTATTCATCACATTACCTATTACCTCTGTGATTGTCTGCACAAAATATTGCTGTGAGGTTTAAAGTCAAGGTTCTAGGAGTATTAACAAAAGCTTGTGAATGCCACTACTTTGTGGCGCTCTTGTGACTATTTTCTATCTATATAATGGGATGTAATTTACTTTAACACAAAGGGAATGAAAAAAATAATCATGAGAAGATTTAATATGATGAAAACTGCTGTGCCTGTGGGAAAAAGT